AGTATAAATGCAATTACAAATTAGGGGTATATTTTTAGTGACTCAACCTTACTGCTTCAAAAATACATAGCAAATATCACTACTACCCCAGAGTGAGTGGTGTGCGTTTGCGTTTGTCTTTCTATAGGAGTTAAGTCCAGGTTGTTTGGTGAACAGATCAATATGGCTTTATATCTGTATAATTCTTCTTTTGGTTTCTAGGTATATTCGATGCAAAAACGAAAATAATAATAACCGTAGCTGTACGATCTTAATCGATGGGGTAATGATACGGTTTATAGGTAAACCGACACATTAACTCTAATTAAGATCCATATTATCCGCGACCTTTGATGCGGTCTTTAGTGCATACTTGCAAGTATAGTACTCCTGCAAACACACGGTACTCTAAGATGTTTTTTTAATTAGTGGTGTTAAACGAAATATCTTCAATGAAAGTGTTGGTATCGCTGCTACCCCACAGTATATGATGAGCGTTTGCATCTCATCTAATTATAATAGGCATTGTTCATTTACGGGTGATGATTGGTTTAAACCGATTTAATCCGATAGGAAATAAAATAATTGAGTTCTTACTTCGCTGATGATTTAATGGCTTCAATAAAAAAATGATACAAAAGGGAGTTGATCTGAGCTACTTGAATCGAGTTAATAATACTAAGCGTTCAGAGGCACGTCTGTGCTGTGTGACAATCGCAGTGCCATTTATTTCTTTAGTTTTTACATTTCATTTTGTTAGTTAAGGTGTATGTACATACATATATATGTATAAATAAGTATTCATTTTGCTTGTTCTACATTTCATTTTGGAAGCTAGGCAGGCGTATGTGTAGGTCGTTCATTTGGAATGGTTGCCACATTACTCGTCCTCATCGCCGATAATCATGAATATTTTTTCGGCTATGCAAAAGATTCAGTCGAAATAATCGTCCCATGATTTGTTTTCGTTGCTAGAGAAATACGGCAAAATTTCACACAGACTGCCTCCAGCCCCAAGATATTTACTGCAGTCGTTGTGCCAGGCCGTGCTTGGGAAAACTTAAGTTGTCGCGTCATTGTGTTAAACGATGGTGATATTTGCAATAAAGAGGGACGCGGTTGTCTTGGAGTCTGAACTGCGTCTGCATGTGGTAGTGGGATTTTTGCTGATGGGACACGTTTATTTAGTGACTACTCAACCCCCCTATTCAACGTAAACACTATTCACGTATTCATACATCCCGCGACAAAACGATAGCACCTTAACGACTATTTGTGCTGATCCCTTGTGTTTAAATATTTTGTTTTTGTATAGGCTTTGTGGATCTAATGTTCGCAAGTGCAAGTAAAACTAAAATTTCTTCACTTCATGCCCAACGTTTCGCTAAATTTCCTTAGCTTTTTCAGGGGCGGAAATCGTAGAATCCGCTGATTGGGATTGATCCCCAATTAGATCTTTTTTTTTAAATTATAGCTCTTTATCTAACTTGTAAATAAAATTTCAAACTTTGAAAAAAAAATTATAAAAATTTCACAAATTTTACGTCCACGCTCTGGTATGCTAGAACCTTTATTTATAGCAAAACTTTTATAATAAAAACTTGGATACCTAAAACATCTGTGTTGTACTACACATGCATTAGGTATTATAACTTAACCTGATATACAACTGAATCGACACTAGTAACTAAATAGGCCCTACGAAGAAGCAGTAAAAATAGTCCACTGTTTCACTTGCATCTTAATGCCAAATGCACTGTGCATGCGTGGCTATGCCATTATTGGGATAGTCCATTCACTTATTCATATCCATGTTAATAAAATCACTTATATCACTACTGCCCCATATTGTATGGTGAGCGTTTGCATCGCAACCGATTATGACTGGTTTGATTTAGCGTAGTAGTTAGTAGTAATTCAATAATCTAAAACAATAAGACAATCTAAGTGTTGTTAATTTGTTTAGTCTTAAACTATTTGCAATCGAATTTTTATATAGTGCAAAAAAAAATCAATTGTTTCACACTTAAACCTAAAAAGTGAAAGAAAAATCTAAATAAAAAGACAATCTAAGAATTGATAATTTTTCCGAAGTGTTTTAAATAATTCAACAAACAAAAATAATTCCTTTTGAGCTCTTTTTCCATTAAATCGCCACTACCACATATACTGTGGTGTGCGTTTATATGTTGATAGCTGACATAATGGAGATCGAAACAAAAATTTGAACATTTAGCATATAACAAAACCGCATTCACAAATATGGACCATGAACACTGGTGCGTGGTTGAAAACCACTTCCTGGACGACAGTTTCCAGTTTGTATTATGTAAAATGTATTGTTGAAATCGTACATTGAATTACTGTTTACAAAAAATTAGAAAATAAAATATCCTATTCCAATATCATAATTGGGTATTTTCGATTAGAATTACGTTGTTTGCTATTACTGGAGGAACGTTAATAGTAAATGTGGATATTGCTTCAGTAGACATGGCAACCGACGACGCTCTACCATATAATATATTCAATACCCTCTATCTGCAATTTTCAAAAAACTACTTACCTGTCTTACTAATCCTGTCATCACTAATGTTAACTCTGACTTTCCAATTGAATAGTAAATTCTTCCGTTTTAATTGTTGTACAAGGTCAGTATTAATATCACCGGTGACAGTTAAGTCTTAGGTGGATTCTTATATCAGAATCTCGTTTTTGTGAAAAGTGCAGATAGAGGGTATTTGAATATAAGCCCTCGATAATATGTATATTAAAGTTTTCTGTAGATTGATTTAGAGTTGATGAAAGTGT